TTTTTCGTTTTAAACGCAAGGAATCATGCCTAATATTACCACAGAAAGGCTTGAAAAGATTTTAGATGAAAAACTAAACCCACTTTCTGAGCAGCTAAAGGAAGCTTTGGCGACAGTGAAAACATTGAATACAAAAATTGAGCAGACGGAAGACACTTTCGGGATGCTCCAAGAAGAGAATAAGGCACTTAAGCAAGAACAGGTTAGCCTCAAAGCCCAAGTGTTAAGATCGGCAAACGACCTCAAGTTAGTACAAAAGTCCCTTAATGACTTAGAGCAGTACACTAGAAGAGACTGTCTTGAGATCGGTGGTATTCCTCTTCCAGAGGATTTACGGGTGGAAGATACCAACAACATTGTGCTTCAGTTAAGCCAGAAGATGGGCATTCCGTTGGAAAGAAACGATATATCTGTTAGTCATCGAATTCGGAGTAGTAGGGCTTCAGTGGATCCTGCCATAATTGTAAAGTTTGTGAGACGAGAAATGAGGGAACGTTTGTATCGGTCGAGGAAAAGGCTGAAATCTATCACCACAGCTGACCTTGGCTTCTCTGTTGATAAGAAGATCTTTATCAATGAAAGTTTAACGCCTAAGAACAAGGAACTGTTCAAAGATTGCTTAAAATTCAAGAATGACGAGAGCTACAAGTTCCTGTGGACTAGTGCTGGAAAGATCTTCTTGAGGAGGAATGCTGACTCTCCAGTGATACCTATCAACTCTTTTGCTGATATAACACCATCTTAAAAGATAAGTTATATTGAAACTTGCATGTTTTGTGATGGGTGTCCAGATAGAGTCCCTTATCTTGACAGCTCCAATTGTCAAACCAGCTATGCCTCATTCCCTCGACTGGATATTGCTTCTCCCATTTCCAACATTGAGCACCTCACTAACTCAGATATTGACGTCCATATGCCCTCTGACTTGAATTTTAATTATTTCACTACACATGATTTTCATGCTAATGAAGACATTATAAATTGTCTAACTAGTAATTCACTCTCTTTTTTGAATTGTAATATCAGAAGCTTGCAGGCTAATTTTGATAACCTAGTTAATATGTTATCTGAATTATATTCCCCTATATCTGTGTTAGGTGTAACTGAGACAAAGTTAAAGAATGATCAAGATGCTTTAGCAAATATTAATTTAACTGGTTATGACTTTTTGTCTCAACCCAGTGGTACTAATGCTGGGGGGGTAGGCTTCTATGTGAAGGATAATCTTGTATATACTGATCGTTCAGATATTACCGCCCAAAAGCTAAATGATTATGAATCCCTATGGATTGAAATTCAAAACAATACTGGGCGTAATACCATTTATGGTATTTTTTATAGACACCCCCATGGTAATGTTCATGCTTTTCTAAATCATATCAATATGATAGTAGAAAGTATACATCGTGAAAACAAATATTGTGTTTTGCTGGGTGACTTCAATTTAGATCTCCTTAAGTTTGAATCACATCCTGATACAGACAGTTTTCTAAGTACTCTGGGCAAATTTTATTTTCAGCCTCAAATTCTGCAGCCAACCAGAATTACAGATCACTCCGCGACTCTTATTGACAATATATTCTTTAATTCTCTTGAGCATTTTGTGATCAGCGGTAATTTATGTTATGATCTTACTGACCATCTATCTAATTTTCTTATTGTCAGTACAGATACATAATTATAATACCAGATTATCTAGTAAAATGTCCTATGCTATTCATAAAGTCAGAACAAATTATGGAATTTTCAATATAAGATTTCAGGGTTCTAAAGTCTGAAATGATATAAGTGATCACATAAAGCTTCTTCCTTTGAAAAGTTTTAAGAAAAACCTTAAGCTAATCCTTATTGAAAAATACTAATAACTTCCGTAGCCTTCCGTCTTCTTTACTCTGATTTTCACAGCGTTTTTGATCTTGTTTGTATGACCTTGACTGTGCATGTCTTTGTGTGTGTGTATGTTATGTCTGTGTGTGTTTGTGTATGTTATATCTGACCTAAATCCTTGTATTAGATAAATTACCAAAGTATAGCTGCCCTTTTCTTCTAGCCCTTAAGGTTTTTTGGGGCAGCTAGTACTCCTCTACATCTTTTATTGATATATTCTGTTTATTATTATTGTATCATATTTGGGTACGAATAAAATTGTTGTTGTTGCTATTGTTGAAACACCACAAACATTAACATTGGAGATCACAGGAAAACAAGAGACTTCTCTCTTTCTACCCTTTAACCCTTTCACTAACAATTGTACAAATTGCTATCTACCCGGTTAGGACTTTAGCAGACCCTTAGCAAAAATGACTGGCATTCGTAAACAGCTATTATGAGATAGTTAGAGCATATGCCTCAATTAAAACCACTTTTGCTCTTCGTATTTGTTCAATTTCCACCGTTTCTTCATGGGAAAAGTTTATTATCAAATGCATTCCCTTTAAATATTATGTCAGCATGTATACCACTCAAAGAAGTTGTGTAACATGTTTTAAGTACTATTTCA